ACTATAAAACTACTAGAAGAAAACATAATGGAAAAGTTCAATGACATTGGTCTAGGCAATGATTATTTTTTGTATATAAACACAAAAGCACAGGCAACAAAAGTAAAAATAGACAAATGGGACTACATCAACCTGAAAACCTTCTGTGCAGCCAAGGAAATAATCAACAGAGCATAGAGACAACCTACAGGAGAGAAAGTATTAATATTTGTAAACCAAACACCTGATAAGAAGTTGATATCCAAAATATATAAGGAACTCAAGCAACTCAATTGTAGTAAAAACAATCTGATTTAAAAATGGGCAACCTGATTTAAAAATGGAACAGATAGTTCTCAAAATGACATACCAATGACCAATAGGTCTGTGAAAAAATGTTCAACATCACTAATCATCAGACAAATGCAAATTAAAATCACAGTGAGATATCACCTCACAACTTAGAATATCTATTATCAAAAGATGAAACATAAGTATTGGAGAGGATGTGCAAAGTGTGTGAAGAAAAGAGAATCCTGGAACACTATTGATGGGAATGCAAATTAGCATAGCCATTATGGAAAACAGTATGAAGATTCCTCAAAAAATTCCACCATATGATCCAGAAATCCCACTACTGTATATATACCCAAAGGATATGGAATAAGTGTATTGAAATGATATCTGCATCCTATGTTCATTGTACTATTATTTACAATAGCTAAGATATGAAATCAACCTAAGTGTTCATCAGTAGATGAATGGATAAAGAAAATGTGGTGGATATACACAATGGAATACTACTCAGACTTAAAAAAGAAAGAAGGAAATTTTATCATTTGAGACAACCTAGATGAATCTGGAAGACATTATGCTAAGTGAAATAAGCCAGGCACAGACAAATGCCACATGATCTCACATGTTGTATTATGTCCATTTTCAAATAGCTATGAAGAAATACTCAAGACTGGGTATTTATAAAGAAAAAGAGGTTTAATGGACTCACAGTTCTGCATGGCTTGGGAGGCCTCACAATTATGGTGGAAGGTGAAAGAGAAGCAAAGGCACATCTTACATGGCAGCAGGCAAGGTAGCATGTGCAGGGGAACTGCCCTTTATAAAACCATCAGATCTTGTGAGACTTATTTACTATCACGAGAATAGCATGGGAACACCCACCCCCATGATTCAATTGCCTCCTACCAGGTCCCTTCCACGACACATGGGGGTTAGGGGAGCAGTAATTCAAGATGAGATTCGAGTGGGGACACAGCCAAACCATATCACACATGGAATCTTAAAAAGTTAAACTCATAGAAGTCAAGAGAAGAATATTGGTTACCAGAGGCTGGAAGAAGGCTGGGGGATTAGAGAGATGTCAGTCAAAAGTGTACAAAATTTTAGTTTGAATAAGTTCAGTAGCCCTACTGTACAACATGATGACTATAGTTAATAGCAATGTACTGTGGTCTTACAAATTGCTAAGAGAGGGGCCAGGCACAGTGGCTCCTGCCTATAACCGGAGCACTTTAGGAGATTGAGGCAGGCGGATCACCTGAGGTCACGAGTTCAAGACAAGCCTGGCCAACATGGTGAAACCCCATCTCTACTAAAAATACAAAACTTAGCTGGGTTTGGTGATGTGTGTCTGTAATCCCAGCTACTCAGGAGGCTGAGGCAGGAGAATCATTTGAACCAGGGAGACAGAGGTTGCAGTAAGCTGAGATCGCACCACTGCACTCCAGCCTGGGTGAAAGAGTGAGACTCTGTCTCAAAAAAAGAAAAAAAATTGCTTAGAGTAGATTTTAAGTGTTCTCACCACAAACAAAATAAATATGTGAAGTAATGCATATGTTAATTAGCTAGATTTAGTCAATCCACAATGTATATGTATTTCAAAACAATGCATTGCACATAATAAATATATTCAATTTCATTTGTCAGTTAAAAATATAAATAAATTTTAAAATAATGCTAAATGAAAGATGAAGGAAGGGAGGGAAAAAAAGAGAAAGAAAAGGCATGTTCTCTGCACCACAGGGCACGTGGAGGCTGGGGACAGCTCAAATTGTAAGGGATGTCAGTCTCTATACTGGAAGTTGTCACTGGCCATCAGCGGGTCACATAAAATAAAAAGCTATCCAGCACAAAGCCAATGTTCTTCTTACTGTGGCATCATTTCCTTATATCTCAATAACCCCATTATCATTTCAAATTATATTTGTCTCAAAGTAGAAATAAGTAGAGGCCAGGCGCGGTGGCTCAAGCCTGTAATCCCAGCACTTTGGGAGGCCGAGGCGGGTAGATCACGAGGTCAAGAGATCGAGACCATCCTGGTCAACATGGTGAAACCCTGTATCTACTAAATATATATATATATATATAATAATTAGCTGGGCATGGTGGCGCGTGCCTGTAATCCCAGCTACTCAGGAGGCTGAGGCAGGAGAATTGCCTGAACCCAGGAAGCAGAGGTTGCAGTGAGCCGAGATCACGCCATTGCACTCTAGCCTGGGTAACAAGAGTGAAACTCCGTCTCAAAAAAAAAAAAGAAAGAAGTAGACATGGATCATCCACTTTCTCCTTTGCCAACTTACGACAAAGATAGTCCATCACATATTTATGTAATCATTCATTCATTCATTCATTCATTCATTCAACATTATTGGGAGCGTTTGATATCATGAAAAAAGAATGGCCCTTGAAACCAAATGGCCCTGGGCTGGAATCCTGACTGCTATGCCACCCCTAGGAGCCTTACATGAAGTTATTTAATCTCTCTAGGCCTTAGGGTTATCATTTGTAAATGGTGATTTTTTAAATCCCTGCTTTGTAAAGTGCTCAGTGTAGTATTTTATATAGCAGATAATAACTGCTGTTATTTTGATTACAAGCTTCCCATATTCCCACAATTCTAGTGGATACTAGGGAGGCCAAAATAAGTGAGCCAGGGTCTCTGTCCATAGGGGGCTCCCTTTCTCTTAGGGAACGCTATGGTTAAGAGCACCACATTGGGAGCTGAAATGCCCAGGTTTTAATCCTGGCTCTCCTGCATGCTTAAACCTCTCTGTGCATCTGTTTCTCCTTATATAAAATGGAGATAAAAATAGTGCTTGCTTCATAGAGTTATTGTAACAATTACGTGAGTCAATATATAGAAGTGTTAATGCCTGGCGTGTAGTGATGGCCAAACAAGTGCTTGGTAGGATTGGGTATGGTAGAAGAGATGGACATGTTAATTTTAATACATAATGATAAGTACTATAATAGAGAAAAGAATATCGGGACAAAGGAGGAAAGAATCAGCTCTTCTAAGGTCAAGAAAGGCATCATAGAGGATAGATACTTGTCCTAGATCTGGAATAAGGAGGAATTCTGCAGGCAGATGGGGAAAGGGATACAATCCAGGCATAGAAGATGGTAAGGCCAAAGTCATGTAGGCATGAAATAGTCCTTAATTAATAATATAAAACAACATTTAATAATAGTTCCAAACACAAATATCATCTCCTAAGAAGTATGAATACTAATACCATTTCTGTGTTACAGCCAAGAAAGTTAAAACTTAGGGGTGTTTAGTGGTTAAACTAGCCAGTCGTGAAAACCATGATTCAGAAAAGATTAGAGCAATGCAGAGGTCTCCAGACTCTTGGAATGTTATTAATCAATTTATTAGTTATCCATTGCTGCATAATTCATTATCCCAAAATGTAATGCCTTAAAAGAATAAAATATTATCTCACACAGTTTCAGGAATCTGGGAGTGGCTTAGCTGGGTAGTTCCAGCTAGGGGTCTTCCAAGAGGTTGCAGTCTGATGTCACCCAAGACTGCAGTCATCTGAAGGCTTGACTGGTGTAGAAGATTCACTTCCAAGGTGGCCTTCTCATGTGGGTGGTGAGTCAGTGCTGGCTGATGGCAGGAGGCCTCAGTTCCTCACCACACACATTTCCGAGTTTTCACATGACATTGCAGCCATATCTCCCCAAAGCAGGTGATCAAGGGAGCATGAGAAGGAAGGTGTGGTGTTTTATAATGTGGCTTTGGAAGTCACACACTGTCATTTACTCAGTATCCTGTTGGTTTTACAGTTCAACTCTATGCAACATGAGAGGAAACCACACAGGAGCATGAATATCAGGGGGCAAGAATCATTAAGGGAGTATTCTTGGAGGCTGGATACCACAATCATAACTCTGTTAGTAAACTACAAACATTATTGGGTTATCGCAGTTTTTATTTTGTTGAGAAAGTTAAAAAAACTCCCAAATAAGTTGTCATACATTATCAATAGCATTTTATAAGAGCAAAGACATTTTAATACCAAAAAAACAAGAAGGAAATGATCTCAAAATATCAGGAAGTTATTTATATTTGATAGAATTGCCATGATCTCTTTCTTATTTCATTTTGGACTGACAAAAACTTTGACCTGCAAAGACTCTGGAAACCACTGGTATAAACCATAGAGCATGGCCACTACAACCTATAAAATCTTAAGCTAGTTTCTTTGGGCCTTGCTTTCTTTCAATGATAAAATTTATTCATTCATTCAGCATATATTTATTGAGCACCTATTATGTACCAGGCTCTATATTAGGCACTGAGAATTTAGCAGTGAACAAAATAGACTAGGTTCCTATTTCATGGAATTTTCATTCTAGTGAGGGCTTGTAGGTAATAAACAAGAAAATACTACATGGTGATAAATGACTAATTGATATTGGATGACTAAGAATGATCTAAAGAGGAGACATTTTTATGGTGTGATCTAAATGACAAGATCCAATGAGCCCTGTAAAGATCAAAGGAAGTACATTTTACACAAATGAAATGGTGCAAAATTCCAAACATGGGAATGAGCCTGATGGATAAGGGATGAATGATACAAAATGAGATCAGAAAAGTTAAGATGGAGAAAGTCATTGAGGGCTTCAGAAATCAGGACAGTGAGCTTGGATTTTGTACTACATGGAATAGAAGGCATTGGAGGTTTTTAAGCAGGGGTGTGATATGACCTGGTTTTAATTTTAAGATTACTTTGGATACAAGAGGGAAAAGGGAGCAAAGAGCCAAATGTAAGCAAAGACTAATTAAAACTTGCAGTATTCCAGGTTGGACTTGATGGTAGAATGATATTGTATGTTTTCCAGTTGGACCTGAAGAGTTTGGTGGAGTAGTTGTACCTAGAGAGAGAAAGAGAAAAAAATTCTAGAATCAGACTTACATTTGGAGCTTGAGCCATCAATGGATGGGGAAGTCTAAAGGTTATCAAGTGTGAAATAGGGTAATAATGAAGTTTGTTTGGTCATATTATGTTTGAAACGCTAATTATACATCCAAGAAAAGAGATTAAATAGTTGGGTGTAGAAGTCCACAGCAATGGTTCTCAAACTTAGCTGTACATTGGAATTACCACAGAGTTAAAACTAATGCCCAGGTCCCATTCCTAGAGATCCTGACTTTGTTAGTCTAGGGTGTAGACATTAAGATTTTTTAAAATATCTTCAAGCTGATTATAATGCATAGGAAACTTTGAGTCCCACTGACTCAGATATCTAAGCTAGGGAGAGGTCAATTGAAGATGTAACTTTGATTATCTTCAGAATATAGGTGATCCTTAAAAGTCACAGGACTGACAGATTCTTTGGTGAGATAGTGAGGCTGAAGAGGAGAAAGCAAAGACCTAAGTCCGAGAGCAACTGTATTAGTCTGTTCTTATGATGCTGATAAATACGTGCCTGAAACTGGGTAATTTATAAATGAAAGAAGTTTAATTGGCTCACAGTTGCACATGGCTGGAGAAGCCTTACAATTATGGCGGAAGGTGAATGAGGATCAAAGCAATGTCTTACATGGTGACAACTAAGAGAGCCTGTGCGGGGGTACTTCCATTTATAAAATCAGCAGATCTCTGCCCCCGGCAACCATGATTCAATTACCTCCACCTGATCCTGCCCTTGACCCATGGGGATTCCTACAATTCAAGGCGAGATTTGGGTGGGAACACAGACAAACCATATTAGCACACTAAACCCTGGGGCACCCCAGATTTGGAGCTTGAGCATTGAACTCAGAATGGGTGTCAGGCCATTTGTATTTCTCTTTGTGGAGTATCAGGTCCCTGTGAGGCAGGAGTTAACTTGATTATTCTCCTCCCTCTGACTTTTCTAGGGTTATTTTCCTACAACAGGGACCAGCCTCTTCAGCCTTCACCTCTGTTGATTGGCTGCTGCTCAAGCCCATTTCTACTCCCTGGTCAGTGTACTGCAAACCAATCCATTTAGCAGCTGTTCCTCCTTCTGATTGTTTGTTCCAAGACATATTATTTTACATTTGTCCGCATTAAACTGCATTTTATCATTCATATCCCAAGTCCTTCAGTGATCTGGGACCCTCAGCATTTGATTGCAAGGCTCAGTGATTTGTCGTGCCTGCAAAAGCCATCATTTGCAGATTTGAAATCCTTCTTGCAGGGCCATTACGTGGGTCATTAGCGTCAATAACACAGAGCAGTTGTACCTGGCAGCTTTGCAGAGGCAGGAGGAGACACAAGGGGCTGGACGTGGGCTTGTTTGTTTTCTTTAGCAGAAGACACAATGACACTCTAGCCCTCCCATCTCCCACTCCTCGCATCTGGGACTTCCTTTCCAGTCCTGATTATGACACTGAGAGAGAGTCTCAAATGATTTAGACTCCAAATCTGAGTCTTCATGCCATCTTCCCATCATTCGTAGCCTCCAGAAATATCAACAATAAACGGTTCATAGTAGCATGCCTCTGGCTATCTCTAATCAAGCTGGATGTGTTTTCAACCATCCCTAGCCTAATTGTAAGGGGTATTTCTGGAGATCAAACATATATTTGTATTTTTAGCATAAGAGTCCTCAGATGGCTATATCTGGTAAACAGTATGTCCCTCCTAACATCCTACAATTTGCCTTTGACCCACATGTGAGACCCAAGAAGGTGTTCAAGTGGGTAATGCCTGACTTTTGCAGTCGGGAATTCAAGGCCAAAGGTGGAGCTAAGAAACAAGAAACCACCCACCCTGCTTTCACCCTCCCCAGGCATCTAGGTATCTCTGCTCCTTTTAATGGCATTTGATTTCATTATTTTCAGCTTACACTTTTTAATATTTTAAGGCATCGTAAATTCTTTTTGGAGGAGTGAGAAATAATCAAATAATCCATTTATTTTCTTCACAAGCACTTAGCACCAGCTCTGGGCCAGGCGGTGGATCTGGATGTCCAGAGGTCATGTAGGCATAGAGAAGTTTCCAGTCTCATAATGAGCAAATTAATAGTAAAGAGAACCATTAAGCTTTAAATGTGTTTTTTTACTTTTGCTTTTCTGAGGCCCATTCCTACATATTCCTTTAGTCTCCAGATGTCCCAGCAATGTAAGCTGTGCCTTTCAACCAGGCCATGGCATATTTTGGGTAGTTACAATGATTTGGGAGGGAGGCTGGCATTTAGTACCTACCAGGCCCTAGGTACCCTGCTATGCTAAGACCCAGCCTCCACTCACATGACAACAGCATCCCACTGATAAACACCAGGAAAGGTGGGGGATCACTGGTTTCCTAGCATAGCAGGGCACACTACCACAAACGTAGTGGCTCAAAACTACACACGTTTATTATCTTATAGTTATGGAGGTCAGAAGCCCAAAGTGGGTTTCACAGAGCTAAGATCCAGGGGTTGGTAGAGCTTCATTCTTTCTGGAGGATGGAGGGCAGACTCCATCTTCAAAGCCAGCAATGGTCAGTTGAGACCTTCTCACACTCAGCACACTCCAACCTCTGGTCCCACATCACATCTCCTCTGCCCTTCTCCTTCCCCTGTTCACTTGGGAAGATCCCTCTGATTACATTGAGCTCTCTTAGATAATCCAGGGTAATCTCCCCCATCTTTTCAAGATCCTTAACTTAATTACATCTGCAAAGTTCTTTTTTTCATGTAAGATGACATTTTCACAGGTTCCGGGGATTAGAACATGAACTTCTTTGAGGACCTAATTATTCAGCCTGCTGCAGGGTGGGACAAGGCTTAGGAGTCTGAAGGTGCTCTGACAGTCTCAGCCACTAGAGAATGATCTAGACAATCCCCAATTATCCTTCCTAAAGTTGTGGTTCTATTAATATTCACTTATCCACATTAATCCAATGGAGCACTGGCTGTCTCATATCAGGAATTTCAGAGAACACACGTGCAGATGCCATCAGAGGGTGGCTTGTCCCAGGGTTTCTTGCATTGACTAGCAGCCTTTGCCAGAGAGCACTTTTCATACTTTATTTCATCAGTCAATAAATGTGAATTCCTTGTTTTCACATCATCCACGCTATGTGAAGCCATCCAAAGGTGAAAAGAAAAGTTCAAAGCTTTACGTATTGCACAAAAAGAAACTGGTTACACAGATAATTGGGGTATCAACTCCATCATGACTGGGTAAGATTAAGACCCCATAGGCAGCTTTACCATTTGCAAAATATTTTCCTGTCCATTATCTCATTCGATCCACCAGTGGATCTGGAGGCAGTCAGAGCAAGTGTGATTTTTTTAAATCACCATTTTACAGATGAAAAAACTGACCAGGAGAGCTTTAGTAACTCACCCAAGGTCACAGAGCTAATCAACTGCACAGCTGTAACTCAGTCCTTGGACTCCAGTTCCAGCGGTCATGTCCTCTCCACCACACTGACTCTCAAAGCTCTAAGGAGCTGATATGCAAAGCAGAGACAAATTTTAAGCCCATCTTGTCTGAGTCTTAATTGGACCTGTCATTTCTAAGGAGGCAGCATGAAGCCATGAAAAGGGTTTAGAATTAAGGGTCAGGCAAAGCCACTTTCCACATCTATATAACTTGGGGTTGATGAATTACAGCTTAATGAAGTGTTTTCCAAACTAGCCTGATCATTAGAAACCCCTGAAGTGATGGTTAAAAATACAGATTTTCATGTTTCCCCCGAGAGTAGGATTCTGTAGGTCCGAGGGAGGGATAAAGACTTCTGGATTTATCATAAGCCTGCCTGGTGGTTCTTATAAGCAGGCAAATTTGGGAAATAACCACCCACAGGATTTTTGTGTGAATTAAATGAAATGATGTATGTATCAAGCACCTGGCCCTGTGCCTGCCACAGGAGTCCTTCATCAACGTCAGCTTTCTTTTCTTTGCCCCACCTTTATCAGGGCCTATTCCATCTTTCCATTTCCTTACATTTGGTTGTTAATGGTAAGCAGACAAGCTTCTGTTTCCAATGCATATACAAAGTTCCAGAATATTCTCATAGAAGAGATGGCCATGGGTAGGCGTGGTAAATGGGATGAAGCCTTTGGGATGGCAGTAAGTGGTCACTTAAAGAATCTGTTGGGTTTATTGGATTCTCTTTATTTTCTGCATTAAATGTACTTCACCATCCCCTTTCACCTTTATCCAGGGAGCAGGAGTATCTAGCCCAATGCATTTATTTTACTTATCTGCTGATTTATAAAATCCACCTTCTGCTTTGAGCCCTGAGTACATTATACTCATACAAACAATAAATCCCATATAATCAATCTTGTCAACCAAACCACATCTCCCGAGATAAATTTAGCCTCCTCACGGTGGCAAGGGGAACTTTGATTTTGCCAGCAAGTTCAGTTTGTGCCTTGGTCCAACTCTCAGATTAAACATGCACATAAATCTACCTGGCCTCCCATCTTATCAGTGTGGCTGCCCAACCACATGTTTTTTAGAAACCCAGTGGCAGACTCTGCCTGGGAAAGGAATGGCTGCTTGAGGGCCAGAGTTTCAAGAGTCTTCTTCCCCAGGTGGGGCTCTGCAAAAAAAAAAAAATGTTGTCCCCCACCTAGAGAACAGGGGCCATGTCTTATTTCTATCTAGTCCCCAGGATCGAATGCAGTGCATGGCATTAAGGGAAGACATGGTATATTGTTGTATTTACAGATTTATGGTCAAAATTTTTGCTAAGACAAAAATCAAAGCAACCCTGCATTTCTCTCTTCCTCTCAAGTAGTCACAAATCAGAAAGTCACATACCTCATGTTCTCATGTCTAAGTGGAACCTAAATAATATGTATCCATGGACGTAGAGTATGGACTTATCGACATTGGAGACTCAGAAGGGTACCAAGGGGAGGGATGAGAAATTCTCTGATGGCTACAATGTATGTTATTTGGG